GGGGGGGGGGGGGGGGGGGGGGGGGGGGGGGGGGGGGGGGGGGGGGGGGAGTATTTTCCACCTTTCCGGGCTCAAGACAGATAGATGCACACGGCGCAGATCGCTTGCTGTGCCCGCTACCACCGCTTCTTTTTCGAGATCACGAACGGCAGCGGAGCGGACTCTAGCGGGAAGGTGCGCGGTGGTTTTAAAACCAAACGGCTCGAAAACGACAGCGACGAGTCTTGTTTGCTGTACACACACACACACATACCACCTTGTCCTTCCCTCCCCCCATCGAAAAGCACACGCTCGTACCGCCAAACGTTTGCCCTATCCTTCTCGAGACGACCAAGCCTATGTCTCCGCACGCCCTACCACATAGGTGCAACCCGTCCCCGCAAACAACGGGTACATGCCCAAGACCGCACGAGTGTCACCCTCGCCACTCCGCCCTCCTCCACCCCCGAACCCCCCATGACTCACCTATCGCATTGCCGTGCCACAAGTCCCCCGACCCGCACGACCGCCCGCCCGAGAGCCTTGAAGGCCGCGGAAAACCCGGGTACATCCGCGTCGGGCCAGACGTTCGGGTGCGCAAAGGAAGGGTACTTCTCCACCAACGCCGCCGCCGCCGCCTCCGCCGCCGCCGGGCCACTATCACCACCAACACCAACACCGCCGCCGCCGCCGCCGCCTCCTTCTTCGCCCGCGTTATTGCCACCGCAATGATCGCCTTTTTCAGGGCGGTGGAGAAGACGGTCTGGGCCACGACCTTCCACGCCGCCGTCTTCGCCGCTACCTGCGGCGATGGCGGCGGCGCCGCTCCCGCTACCGCCTCCGTCACCTCCGAACGGTGCGTCGAAGCAGGGGTTAGCATAGAAGGACCCCTTGGCGAGGTCGGGGCCGCCTGTTTCCAGGCTCTCCTTGCCGTGCGACCACCCGAAGCTGAAGCAGCTCTGGGGGTGCTCGTACCGCGCTTTCGTCTCCTCCGGAAGCGCCGCAAACCTATATTTTTCAAAAGCAGAAACACCGGGTCGTCAACGACAGAGTTCGAGGGCTAGGGTTTTGGATCCAATGGGATTGGGTTCAACAATGACACGGGCGGCGTAAGCGACGGGAATTTGAGGGCCAGTTTTTTTTTTTTTTTTTGGGGG